TCTACGTCTACTTCTACTTCTACTTCTACTTCTACTTCTACTTCTACTTCTACTACTACTACTACTACTACTACTGCTGCTGCTGCTGCTGCTGCTGCTGCTGCTGCTGCTGCTGCTGCTGCTCCTGCCACTGCCGAGGACGGTGCGAGTACCAGCACTTGCATTGCTGTATAAGCATAACTGCCAGCCAAGTTGATGGCATCATTAGTTGCAAGATCTAATGGAGCAGAATAGTAGTCGGTAGTAGCAGTTGCGGATGGATGGCAGCTACAAAAGTAGCAGCAGTTGATGCAGGAGGCCGAGCAGCAGAAGAAGGATGTGTAGTGTGTCGCAGAAGTAGGCCTCATGTAGTCGGGTTCCCGGGAAGGGCACACTGTAGATGATTCGTGGAAACACCGCCTGCTACATGTGGTTTTGAAACGACTTGTTCGTCCTGGAGTTCTGAAGAAACTCGTCCCGTGTCTTCCAGAGCCAGAGGGAGAGTTAGCTTAATTTTGACCAAATGCAGACGGAACAAGATCCGTTGCATGAAAAACGGCGCGAAGCTGGGAAGTTGTCCCTGGCTACGGTTGTGTTTTGTCACCTTTGGGTTCTAGAGGTTTCCAGAGCTTCGGCTTTGCAGAAGCTAAGTGCGCAAGTCTTCCTCGTTGTTTCCCATGCGTGTGCACGTCCAGATGATAGCGTTGCAACCCGACTGAAACAGCTGTCCAAATAGTATATTGTGCAGAACTCGTATATACAAAACTGCAACACTTTGGATGCTACCTCTCACCGACCTCCTCTTGCGTGCCACAGCGGCCTCTGAGCCTTGGGCGCTAGCCCATGCACTACCTCTTCAATTTTCAATATTGGCTCGACAGTTTTAGCTGCTTTGTCGGGTGAAGCGGCCCGGCCCCCCTAGACCAAGCTACAAGCAAAGGGCTGACGCTAGTCAAATATCCATCCTCAGGAACACTCTAGAAATGGCCTAGTGGGCATGTCTAACTAGCAACTGAAGTGTTCAAGCGGTTGTGGCCAACCACGGCCAGTCCAGAGTGACCTGAGCGACAGATTATTACACTGTCGCATGAATGAGTACAACAGAAAGTGGTCATCTCCGGTGTGCATTGAAAACACATGGCATGCCTCTAGTTAGACGAATTCCATGGCTGTTGCAGGAAGCCTTCAACCCAAGCTCAAACTAGCTGAAAGCAGCGCTCTGCGCATAGTCGAAGTATATTGCAGATTTTGGGGGGCGATGCCAGTTCCCCATGCCGCGGGGCTCGGCCCACCCCCTGTGGTCTCGGGCAGCCTGCAACCAAGCCAAGGCCCGGTTTGCCTTTAGTGTGTTAGGCAACGCAGCGCGTAGAATTCCCAGCTTACAAAGTGTTGACTTGACCTGATCACGCTCAGCTTATGTACTTAGGGGCTTGACGACGCCTGTGTCTGAGATGTACCAGGACAAGGGCATCTTACGGGCAACCCACGTCTGCAAAAATCACGAGGCGCCAGAAAACGACGACAACAAGCCGCCTGCACAAATGAGCAGCATGCTGGTACACTCCCGGATGTGCTAGCAGTTACTAGCGCTTCACCTTACGTGACGACCCTGGCCCATCTACGTTATCTGGCCAAGCAGACCTCCGGAGGTTTAGATTCACCTCTCTATACAGCAAGCAATGAAACTGGCAACCAGCCGCCCGGATGCTGCGATGCAGCGTTGGCGGAAGTCCCAGATTGTGCTCGACCTGCGCCTGTAGATCTTCAAGAGTTGTTGGTCTCATCCCTCGTGCGAAAACAGAGGGTCTGCGAGCTGAGTCCTCAAGTAGGCTCTCAGTCCCAGACCTCGCTATGCATCCGAGAGCTCGAGATTCGGCGTTTCTATACATCCCTGAAGCCGGCGCCCCTGGCTGCCCTCTTCTTCGTGCATCCTTTTAACCCGACAAGCGATCTCTTGCGGCAGGCAGGCAGCTGGACAAGGAGGGGGAACCCAGCTGGGACCAGCCACCTGGGGCAAGACATGCACAGACTCGGCGTAGACAGCTCTTGACCCTTCCCTTCAAAATCCCAATCTCTGACCGCTTGACTTGCCTGTAGGTCTTCAATTCAGAGAAAATTCGGTGTCGCAATGGTCGGAATGAGGCATAAGGACGATCCACTACAAGATAGGGAAACGGTGGTAGACTTGTCAATAAGGGAGCCAGAGGTTGTGAAGCAGTTCTTGGGCATTGGCCCTTGGAGAACACAAGAAATTGAGCTCAAGGGCGGGGTCTCGGAGGGCCGTGCGGGAAAAGCAAAACATCTCTGTGCTCTCTGGGCCAAGGCTTCGCTTGTCCCTGCGACATATTTACAACGAGCAGGTGGCTTGCTTGGCGAAGCGCCTCGTCCTGCAGAGTCCTCATGTTCCTATTCTGAACGGAATCTTTCACTTTTGTAATGAGCGCCGTCTCATCGCCTCGCTCATTGTTTCTGCTTGCTGTTGCTCTTCGAGCCTCGCAGACAATTCAGTCGGCACATGTTCCCAAAGCCTCATCGCAGTATTGCCCAGCAGAACTATACTCCCGCTCAGGGAGTCAGTACTTGCAGTCACAGGGTCCCTTGTCGTTCATTGCTGGTGCTTTGCCCGCCGATCCTGGGACCTCAAATTACTGCAAGACGGTTATGATGAACCCTTCGGCTTCCTCTTTACACGCAGCACATACTGTGCAAAAAGTATCCCGATCTAACGAGTTTTAACCGGATGAGCGTCACACTCAACTGCATCTGCAGCACAAGCACCTCCCATCGAATTCCCGACCTGAACTGTTCGGAAGCTGTGCCCGAGCCGTTAAATGAGTCACGTGGATGAATACATTCATTATGTATATAGATGCAGACCAGAAATCCACCGCTCACATGCAGGCGAGCATAGCCCCGAACCACACTGCGCCAAGCAAGATGAGAGACTAAACCCGAAGCCGTAGAATTCGGTTTGTTTTTTCTCGCTCCCAGGTTTGATGTATTCCTCCAGGCAACTGAGAACCCGATTGTCACAGCCGCCACTCGACCTTGCCATGCAGATACGCATTGAGACGTCCTTCCACTGAAGCCATGCCGAGTCAATCATAGTTCAGGCATGGCGCATAGCAGGAAAAGCAGAGCAGAGGGGTTAAGAACAAAGTGAGTTGGAAGGTCCCGGTCAATGGTCGATATTCAGGGGCAGTTGTTTAGCGGCAACGTCAGGACTTGCTGCGATGGCATACTTGGGTAGCGCACTGCTTTGATTGAGTTGTTGCAGGGCCCTTGTGTGTGTCACAATTGCTTTTCAGCTTGCCGAGTGTATTCTGACGGTGGGCCTCTTGGGCCGCCCTGCACCTGCACATTCCTCAGCGCAGATGTGATTAGGACGGCGCAGATGTGCAGCCGCGAGGCGGCGATGCGCCCGAGGCTCCCATGTGGCACCTGCCATCAGTAGCCTCGCTGGGACTTACTATCGTTTATCTAAGTCGCTGCAGTTGGTGCTTGTGGCCAATGTTCTTGACGAAACAGCCTTGCAGTGAGCTACGCGGCGTTGCCCATGTGGGGCAGTGAGTCTGCAGACGTCCTCGGAAAAGTTAGAGCCCCGCACTGACTTGAGCCTGACGCAAATCCCTCTCTCCCCATCACCGCTCTTCGTTTCACTTCGAGTGTCGGGATCACAGGAACTTTCGAAGCATCAACTGGCGCAAGCTGAGGTCGGATGGCGAACGACAGACTCCAGTCATCGTGATGCTCCCGGCGACCAGGCACGGGCCTGTCTCGACAGGGACGGCTTTCAAAGCTCCCATGCTGAGAGAAGTCATTGGTTGCTCCCGAAACCCTCCATGCAATGGACTATAAGATTCAGAGGCAAACCGAGCAGCAAGTGGCATCGGAAGATTAGCGAAGGGGTCTTAAATCTGAGGGGCAGCACGAAATCTACAGACAATAACCAGATGTTTCTAGAAGCGTGTGCGAGGCAAATGAGGTGGCTCGGTTGCTGTCGTCTTCTCAGGCTGTCGTCGTAGTCTACGGTCTAGATACCTTCATTTTAAGCATGGTATTCGCAAGTCTACCAATCGCACATAATCGCACGCAAGTCTTATGCAGCAATTGTCTGATGCTGAAAGAGCATGCGCGAGAGAGAGAGAGAGAGAGAGAGATGACATGTCGCTGAGAGTTCACACTTGTCTTTGACCGTTATTGCATTCTATATGGCAGGAGCCTTCGGATAAGTTACACTCGAATCTCACACCCTCCTCCTGCACAATAGGTGCGGGTGGTCTTGAAGCCCGGGGATCTTGACCGACCCCTATGCCCGCAAGAGAGAGAGAGAGAGAGAGAGAGAGAGAGAGACACTCGGACAGAGATAAAGGGGCGTTTTCCCAAATGTCCTTTGGCGAAGTTGGAGAGTGTTGCATCGGTATGCCATACATGCTATCTCACCATTACGTTCAGTGCACCGGTTGTTCTTGTGACGCTCTCTTTTTCTGCTTCTCTGAGCGCAAATCAATCAAAGAAACGAAGCTTCGCC